TAGTCAAGAAAACCAAGGCTCTCGGGAGTTAACATACTTGCCCCAGAGAACACAACTAGTGAGTAAGCCAGGAGTCTTGCAAGCAACAAGGCCCATGTGCTTTCCCCCATATGACACTGTACAGTACAAGGAAAATGGTAAACACTAAAATAAAGGACATTATTCATTAAGAAACTAATCCACCTTAGGGCACTAACCCATTATAAAAACTGGGAATTACTTCTGCATATTCCTTCTTTATACACTACACAAAGCAGATATGGATGAAAAAGAATGATCCCACCCACAAATTAGAAAAGCATCAACACTAGTTTTAAATTGGGATTTTTAAAATCCTCACAAACTGTCACCCTAAAAAATAAAAATGTAAACTGAATTACAAGCCTAGAGCTTAAAAAAAAAAAAAAAAAAAAAAAGGTTTTCATTAAAGAAGGAATTTATAGAAACACACTGTTACTGATCTAAAAGTTTTAACACCAAGGGGCAGAGTTTCTGCCTCAGAGTATCTCCAGTCATCACAGTTTTTGGAATGTTTAATACTGAATGTCCGAACTATTAGCAAAATGCCTCAAAAACATAATGAATTATGAGGCTAGAAATAATGACACACTCTCATTATAATCCCATCTTCAAAGAGGTGGTACTTTTCAAAAACACTTCACTCAAATCTAAACTCACATAAGCTTTTAAAGTCAAAGAAAGAAGGAAAACAGGGCATGGGAGGATGGGATGGGGAGAGAACTAATTACAGAACCTGGTAGTACTACTATGGCTACTACTACTTATTATTAAGCACTACTTACTACGATGACGATGATGATGAGGATAAATATGTGTGTGTCTATTCCCTAAGTGTTTAGTTTAACTGTCCTTATTGAGATAGATAACTGTCGGGGCTTGCTTTGTGTCATGCCATGTAGGCACAAGGAAAGCATCCAAGTCTTCACATAAAGCACGGACACCTTTACTAAATTTCCCTTGAGTAAAAGTCCTTCAAGCTCAAAAACTTTAGGACTCTCTGGAAACATTTTCAAAAGTATATAAAGATGGAGAAAATTCAAATGTCTCTATTTCTATTATAAGTAGCTGAGGACAAGCCAGCTATGTACACAGAACAATATGCTGGCACTGCTTTCTGTAGAAAGTAACATCGTTGATATAAATTTCAAAACCCCACCTATGAGAAAAGAGACAAAAAAGATGAAACTTTCCTTTCACTTTAAGTTCTGCAAGTGAAGAGACTTTTAAAATGCTAATGGCAGGGGGGCCTGGGTGGCTCAGGTGGTTGAGCATCTGCCTTCAGTCTGCCTTCAGTTTGGGTCCCAGGGTCCTGGGATCGAGACCCCCATTGGGCTCTCTGCTCAGCAGGGAGTCTGCTTCTCTCTCTCTCTCTCTCTCTCACTCTCCCTCTGTAGTCCCTCTCTCTCTCAAATAAAGTCTTTAAAATAAAAATAATAACAATAAATAAAATGCAAATGGCCGTATTACATTTAAGTCAGTCAAATATTATGATGCACACAACAAACATTCTGATAATACATACACACAAGTGATCATTAATGAATACCCAATGTTTCAATTTTCAAAAATTATATATTAAAAAGATGAGTTACAAAATTATACAATTTCCATTTTCAAACTCCCCTAAGATTAAAGATTTTAAGGACGTGAATTTTACTTTATTCTTTAATGCAACCCACAAAATTCAACTGCCATTTATATTATACTGCCAAATAAAATTAACTCAAACCTTGCAATTTGATCAAAGCAATACTACAGAAAATTACATCAATAACTATCCTTTGGCATGCACACGTTATTTATTCTGGTTTCTCCTAAGGAAATGTTAAAAAATAAAATAAAGGGCGCCTGGGTGGCTCAGTCGTTAAGTGTCTGCCTTCGGCTCAGGTCATGATCCCAGGGTCCTGGGATCGAGTCCCACATCGGGCTCCTGCTCGGCAAGAAGCCTGCTTCTCCCTCTCCCATTCCCCCTGCTTGTGTTACTGCTCTCGCTATCTCTCTCTCTGTCAAATAAATAAATAAAATCTAAAAAAAAAATAAAATAAAATAAAATAAAGAAATTCCTCCTATATTTTCTTTATATTCCATAAATTACTTCCTAAAGTTAGTGAGAAGACAACACACAAAATTCAATCCATTGTAAGAAAAACAAATGTCATTTAACAAACTTTTTATATTCTCTATAAAAATCAAGACCAAATAAACATTTCTGAAATCTACATCTGACTGTACTTTGTTATTCTATAGATAGGGAAATCTAATTTATGGAATGCTTTCCAGAATATTTTCCCAAAACATGCTTACTACACAAGAATCACTTTCATTCTGTCTGGAATTAAGCTGTGGATATATCTAGTACTACATGATCCTGTTACTCTCCAATTCTCCCACGCTGGCAAAATACACAAGTTCACAAAAATCATATTCCTGGAGAGCAGAGTTCTTGGAAATTTTTCATATTATCAGACTTCACTTAAAAAACGAGAAAAGGATATACAAATAGCCAGCAAGCACATGAAAAGATGCTCAACATCATTCATTAGTCATAAGGGAAATGCAAATCAAAACCACAATGAAATACCACTTCACACACATTATGATGGCTATTATCAAAAAAACAAAAAATAACAAGTGCTAGTGAGGATGTGGAGAAATTGGAACCCTTGTGCATTGATGGTAAGAATGTAAAATGGTACAGCTGCTGTGGAAAACAGTCGGGCAATTCCTCAAAAAATTAAATATATATGATCTAGCAATTGCACTTCTGGGCATGTACCCAAAAGAAGTGAAAGCAGGGGCTCAAAGAGATACTTGTACAGTCGTGTTCATAGCAGCATTCACAATGACCAAAAGGTGGAAATGACCCAAGTGTTCACTGACAGATGGACGAATAATATATGGTACATACACAAAGCAGAATATTATCCAGGCCTAAAAGGAAGGAATTCTAACACACGCTACAACATGGATGAACCCTGACATTATGCTAGGGAAATAATCCAGTCACAAAAAGACCTAGAGTAGTCAAATTCAACAAGACAGAAAGTAGAATGGTGGTTACTTACCAAGGGGTAAGGGAAGGGGAGAATGGAGAGTTAGGGTTTAATGGATACAGTTTCAGCTGGGGGAGATGAAGAAGTTCTGGAGATGGATGGTGGTGATGGATGCACAACAATGTAAATGTACTGAACGTCACACTTAATGCACACTTAAAAATAGTTAAAAAGGTCACCTTTCTGTTAGGTATATTTTACCATGATAAAAATAAAAATGAGATAAGGAACAACAAAATCTTAAAATAATACCAAATTCTTCTCACCCATGCCTCTTCACTACCCACAAAACCAATGAGTGGTCAGTTCAGCTCTAATTTAAATGTTTACCTGAGCCCCAAGAAATGAATATAACAATAATAAAGTTTAAAATTCTTTCTAAACCTAAAAAAGCTTTATTGGCTTCCTCAAAAAGTCCTTTGCCAGAAAAACATGCTAATAGCTATTACATGTCTAGTTTCGATTTAAAAAGTTACTGAAGAATCCATACGCCTTTCAACTTTGTATTTCAAGCATGATTAGCTTTATCCCTAGAGTTTTTTCTTCATTTTTCTCCTAAAGCCTCTAAAGACTTTTTCATTTCCACTAGCAAAACCTTTAGCTAAAATTTTCTCCCCCACAAACTCATAAGAGCTCATCTTTACTAACTAGTAGAAATATCATCTTTATAGTAATCAAATTCATTTAGTTTCCACCAATTTCAAGTATAAACCTCAGAAACTCATTTATGACTCTAACTCCCTAAAAAAAAAAAAGTTCAGGGACGGCTAAGTGGCTCAGTCGTTAAGCGTCTGCCTTCGGCTCAGGTCATGATCCCTGGGTCCTGGGATCGAGCCCCACATAAGGCTCCCTGCTCAGCGGGAAGCCTGCTTCTCCCTCTCCCACTACCCCCTGCTTGTGTTCCCTCTCTCACTATGTCTCTGTCAAATAACTAAATAAAATCTTTAAAAAAAGTTCACATGGGGAAAAATAGAAGCCTGAAATATCCTAGGCTAAATTTTGAGGATATTTTCTAGTCACACTCCAGTTTTTCTTATAATACCTTCTAATTTCACAAACTGTTACAGAAGTAAATGTTCATTAACGAATCAGGTTTTCTGATTTCCTCTGAGCTATGAAAGTGCACTTTTTTTTTCACATCCCCTTTCTCCTCACTCTTAAGTGTTCAGCAGATAAAAATCTACTTTCAAAGGCAGATTCTGATAGTTTCCATGCGATAAATGGTACATTTTGATGTATTTCAACCTGTCTGTTCATAAACATAAAGCAAACAAATGAAAATTAAAAGGAACAAGAAGTATCCACATAATACCCAAACAAAAGTTGAAAGGTCTAATTTAGAAAGAGCAAATCTCATAGGAAAAACTTGTCCTTAATTCATTCCAAAGGAAAGAGAAAAGTAGTATTAAGTATGATCATCATGTCTTCTACATATATTATGTGAAAACGCAATTTTTTCTTGATTTTTAAAAATGAATTCTTTCAAACATCATTTTCTATACGCAAGTTAATGGTACCATCTCCTCTCCTAGGTCTACTTCCTGTGACTAAAACTCTACAGTTTGTACCTGTTATCACATACGATGTATGTATCTAACTGTCAACAGAAGAAAAAATGAAAAACACAGACCTAGGCATCTTAAAACTTCTGTGGCATTCAGTTTGTCTCTTTATCAATGTGAAAGATGTCCCTGATAACAGGTTTCTTTTCATTTGTCCAGTTATTTATATTAAACTGAGTCCTTTATGAAGGAAAGTGAATATATCTGCCCACACAGCAGTAACTTCAACGTGTCTGAAACCTCCCATCCCTTCAATTTGCAACACAGAACTTTAACAAATATGAAATTCCATAAAAAGGAAATTATATATATAGATATGAAAAGATAACTGGAAAGGAATCTATCACCTGGTCACGAGCCTTACCTTTTAGCAGCGGCAGAGGTGTTAACTCAATAGGCTTGCCTTGAGACCTAAACTGTGAGGAACTTTGCGACCTCTTCTGTCTGGCTTTTCTGACGGACTTCCGAGAAAATCCGTCTACTTTATCCACTGATGGAGGAGTAGTTGGTGCTGAGGACATATCCCTACTGAAGAGAAAGAGGTATCATAAACATATTCCCAAGGTGGAAGCATACACGTGAATTACACAAATTCTAAAATTCCCATATACACTAGGCATGAAAATTGGGAGTATGTGATGAAGAGGGCAAATAAAATCAATTAAGAAAAATTGTATGTTCAATGGGGAAACATGAAAATTTGATGATAAACAGAAGGAATTTAAGTACCATATAAGCAATCTTGTAGTTCTAATGCATGGGGCTGCTCCCACTCTGATAAGCATTAAAGATGTTCACTGACACTTGAAGTCTTTTAAGCCATCTACTCATTTTCTAACTGCACAGCTCTTCTCCTCTTGAGATTCCTGAAGTAATTCTGGAGCTATTCTGCCACTGGAAAACTTCCATCAATACATTTTCCCAAGATATTTAATATTATAAATGGGCTCTGGAGTTAAAACCCTTATTGTACTTCAAGAATCTATACCAATGTATCACAGCAAGGTGAAATTTACAACTACTGAAACTATCTAGGCATGACTTAATGCAATGTGCTGTGTTAGCTATGATAAACTGTACCACACCACAAATGAGGACAGGTTAGATTACTTTAAACAGAACACATAAAAGGCATAATTAAAAGCATTTCAAAGAAGTCTTCTTTTTGAATGAAGCCATCTTAAGTTATTAAAGCTTAATAAACAAAATTATGATGAAATCGTGCACCAAAGTTGAAATGAAAACATAAATTCACACCCTACTTAGACAACCAAGTTGAGTTCCCTTTAAGTTCATCATAAGATATTAACTTTCATTCCAACAAACTGATAGAACAGTCCTGTTAGATTTCTTTTAACCCTCTCAAATTATTAAAATGAAGGCCAGTTCCTAAAAGTAACAAGACTTAAGCTCAATTTCATTCTCCAATTTAAACAGATGCCATCATTTCCATGGTACTGAGGCTCCATGCAAGATAAATGGCAGACTTGAATGAAAATAATGCATATGGGGGAAATACTGAAATGCAATTACTCACCTGTCATTCCAATACATAAGATTAAGTGTTTTTTAACCTCTAAGTTAAAAGGTAAGGGAGTTTCTTCCTGAACATGCAAGAATAAAAAGTTATCTGGATTATCCGGATTCCAACAAAGTAAATAAAAATAACAAAAATATAAACAAAAAAACAAACAAAACACTGGATCTTGAGGTTTGGAATTCTGAAGTCTTGTTTGATTCTCTTAAAAAAAAAAAAGTTTTCAGAAATCTACCTAATTTAGCCTTAAATAAAATGTGACAGATTCAAAATGAAATTGCAAACTATGAATGACTATGGAAGAAGTAAGATCAGTTAAAATTTTTCACAATGACTGCATCAGCAAGAAGCTCCACATCTCATTTGTATGTTGTGAATTTAGGGGCAGCTTTTCCAATGTGGTACGTGAATTATTTAGATTCCATTCAACCCTAACAACGCAAGATTTCGGTAAATCCTGCTCCTCCATCACTCTTTTTGTCTCTTCTTTATTCCTCATCTCCCATCTCTAAAGATGATTTGTTGCTAGCATTTTTTAAAAAATCATTTGCCCCTTCTGCCCGCGGCCCAGAATAAACGTCAAGGATCTCAACCCTAAAGCGCTGCAGAACTGAACTTGCAGTAGCAGTGGGTCCGTGTAAAGCCCGTGGAAACAGGTTTCGCCCTGGACCAGGACGCCCAAAGCTTTATCATCGTCTAAGCAGCGGGCACGGGGCATTTCCGAGGTTCAGGATAATCCAAATGGGGGTGCTGGGGTGGAGGAGAAAGACAAGGGAAGGGGTTGGTCTGCAGGGATGCTGACATTCTCCCTTTGCTCCCACCCTCCCCCCCCCCCAGCCCTGGAGAAGATAAGCTGTTAGCAGAATCCTTCTCACTACACCAATCCCCCCGGTTTCCCCCCGCCCCGCGTCAGTGGATAAAGGGGGACAAGAATATGCCTCCAATGCCGGAAGGTGGTGGGGGGGGAGGGAGGGGAGCAGAGTAAATGGGAGGCATCGTCAAAAGCATTTGCAGGTAAATCAGACAAGTGGGACGGGCGCTCCCTCTCCCACAGCCCACCCCTCCGCACCCCTAGCCTGCCCCGGCCAGGCCTTCCCGAGGCCGGTGTCCTGCAGGTTCCTGAGGAAGACGGGGAAGAGGAAGAGAAGCGGGCGAGCCGAGGAGCTGGAGGGACGAAGTTACCTTGAAGCTCCTGGGGAAGAATCCGAAGATGATCTGTGGTTTCGAAGGGCGGGAGACCGGCGTGAGGGCCGCAGCGGGGGCGGGTGGCAGGACCGGGACGTGCGGGGGGAGGTCCGGACAGCGGCAGGGAGCCCGGGGCGACGGCTGTCCGGCGCGGCGTCCCTCCGGTTCCGCGGCGGCGGCGCCTCTAGGCCTCACGGCCGTACCTGAACCTCAGCGCTCCGGCGGCGGCGACGGTGGCGGCAGCCTCACGATCCTCCCCCGCGGGCCCGTCCCATCAAATCGGCACCGACCCCGTTGCGGCTCCGCCGGTGGCTCCTCGCTCACATTCCCGACGGGCGGCGCCTCTGCTCGTTGCCCCGGACCCGGCGGCGGCGGCGGCGAAGACGTGGGGAGGGGGGGAAGGGAGGGAGGAAGACTGGATCCGCAGCGGCAGCAGGAGAAGGAAGGAGAAGGAGGAGGAGCCGCCGGAGCTGGAGCCGCCGCTGCCAGAGCGCCCTTTGGTACCCGCGGTGGGTCCCCGTCAATGCCCCTTTCTCTCTCCTATTGTCAATATCACCGGGCGGCTGAGTCCATGGCACACGCGCAACCGAACCTTCAGGCCAGCAGCGCCCGCCCCCGGCGCCCACTCACTGGAGGCTTCAAGCGGGAAGCGAGGCCTCATTGGCCCGCGTCCGCCTTCACTCCCATGCCAGCATGTTCGACTGAGAGCCGATCAGGGATTGGCGGCGGGGGGGCGGAGAAACAGGAGGGTGGGAAGAGACAAGGCCGAGGATTGGGCTGAGGCGAGAAGGACCCGGATGCAGCCGCGATCTCCGGCCGCGCTGCTGCAGCTTCCGCCAGACGGGTGGGTAAGGTGGAGTAGGGAAGCCCCGCAGCCGCTAGGCCTTTGAGGAGCTCCTGAAACCCGGGAGGTGCGACTGATGGATCAATGGGATGGGTGGGTTTCCACGCAATGCGGCTTCTCTGGGCGGCGGTCTTCAGCCAGAGGATTCCAAGGGCAAGGGTCGGCTAAGGGTGGGGGAGCCCCCTGGGCCTTGAATTCGCCCCCTTCCTCGGCTAGGCTGGCCCTTCTGGGCTGGAGGAGTCCCACTCAGGATCGGTGCGAGCGCTGAAATAAGCGCAGAAAGAAGATCTGCCGCCCGCGCCTGTACGCCACTGTGTAAATGGGCCCCTTGCAGCGCACTGTGAAACCCCAGCAGTCGCTCTCCCATGAGCCTTGTGGGTGACCTGGCACCGAAATCTGAACCTCTGGGCCTGGGCCAAGGGTTGGGTATCGCTTCGAATTCTGTCTCACCTCGTTTCCTTCTCCCTAAACCTTTCTTTTGAATATCAGCTCCCTGAAGCTCCTGCAAGCCTTGATAGAGGCCAGCCCGGTGTAGCTCATGCAGGTGGGAACGCTGTCCCTGTGCTCTGCAATCATTTATCCGGATCGACTGCATGGGTCCTCCCGCTGCACAGAGCGCAGGGAAACCCAGCTCCAGAGTGCGGGAGTTTGCGAGATTTTAATTGGCAGATTGGATCCGGAAGAGTTTATGGAGAAGATTTCACTCAACTCTAGCTAGATCAAGTAATAAAATATTTAGGGCGCCTGGGTGGCTCAGATGGTTGAGCGTCTGCCTTCGGCTCAGGTCATGATCCCAGGGTCCTGGGATTGAGTCCCGCATCGGGCTCCCTGCTAGGCAGGGAGCCTGCTTCTCTCCCTCTGCCTCTCTCTCTCTCTCTCTGACTTTCATAAATAAATAAAAAAAATAAAAAATAAAAAATAAAGTAATAAAATATTTAGAGATGTGTTTACCTCCTTGGTGAGCCCAAACCCAAACGGTGCAATTCCAGATAATGTTATTGGGACTCTCGTTCCATTTGAATGCACGCTAGGTACATCTTTTGGGGGGTGTGGGTTGGGGTGGACTTGGGGGAAGAAGAAAGAAATTCTTAATGCTAAAAACAAATGTCAGATCACCAGTTGTTAAAAACTTGGAAGACGAAAAAAAATTTTTTAACATTTATAATCCTTCAACCCAGTGATAACCCCTGTTAGCATTTTGATCTACTTCCCTCCAGTGTTTTTTTCCTTTAATTTTGTATGTTGTTCTGTAGCCTAGTTTTTACCCCTCAGCACTTTATCATGTTTTCTATACAGTTAATAAAACTACATACCATATGTACAAGTAACAACAAAAAAATACATTTCTTGTCTCTGTTAATAATCAGGTATTGCGAATTCTTATTCACACTCCCATAAATGGATTTTGAGTGGAAAAAAAAATTTTGTGCCATTAAAAGATTTTTTTAAAAGATCGGTTTTGAACAAATAGGAAACAGGAAAAGATGTCTTTCTTAGGCAGGAGCAGTTTCCCCCTACTGACTTCAGATGATTGGCCACTGTATAGATAGTGCCCATTTTTGCCCTGCAAAGTTCAGCACTAGGCCTTATAAAACTGGCTAGAATACCATTCTCCTTCCTACCTTCAAGAAACTACATTTTTGCATCTCGATTTCATATGCCAGTCTTCATGAAAAGCTCAGTGTCCCAGCCATGCAGAACTTTTTTGCTCAATCTGTGATTGAGGGAAATGCAGAATTAAAACCAAGGAAGATTTTAAAGCCAACTCCATTTCCCTTGGCAACAGTTGGACCGTCAAAGAGTAGTGCACGTTTGAAATGCTCACAGCTGTTGCTTAGAACATTTCACATTTTGCAGAGTGGGGATTTTGCTTGAAAATTATGGATCTCTATAAAGAATTCATTTCAAAACTCATTTTCTATAAAATGGCTGAGTAACTGAAATGAGCAGGTCTTTTAAAATGGGAACATCCTTGCCTATGTGAGAAATTGTTCCTTGGACAATATTTTCTAAAGGAGGTCCATGCAAGCCAGGGTTGTATATGTTCCAGGAATAGTACAAGGCAATCCATTTGGAATGCAGAAGAATAGACTATGAGGACATCTGCTTATGCTTAATTCTAATTGAAAAGTAGTCATTAAGATCAATTAGTATTTTATATACAGAATAAGTAGCCCTGCACTCAGCCCATAGAATCCTCTCTTGACCTAGAACAGCATAGGAGATGTCCTCAAGGAAAAGTGGAAGTACCCATTCCAGAGGTGGGCAGTGGCAATCCCACCCACTGAGTCCCGGTCAACAGGTAGTGACTTACTGCAATTTGCTAGGTTCAACTAAGTGGATTTACTGATGGTGTTACCTAGGCTTAATTAAACTAACCTGTAGAAAACAGACAAGCAACTTTACCAGGGTCCTTTGCAAAGAAACCACAGGAAAACAAACACCGCAGAACTAACAGTTCTAGTACTAGATCTTTGACAGCCACATTTCAAAGTTAAAATAACAATCTAATCTAACCAACTTTTCTAAAAAAATATGTCAAATTCATCAGGGAGATTATTTGAATGAGGATTTATATCCACTGTCATTAACAATGCCTTTCACCCTAAGCATATATTGTGACTGAGTTATAAATGAAAGCATATGTTTGTGCTTTATAAATAAATATACATATCTTTGGTTAAGAATTGCTTCCAAAAAATATATTGATAGGAATGAATGATCAAAAAAGTTTGGAGACTTGTTACTCTGGATAATACAAAAAGAAATACATTATAGTCATCTGGGAAGCCATTATCAAGTGACAAAACACTTCATTGCTATCAGATAAAAGCACTCACTTCCCAGATATCAAGGCTGAGCTTATCATGAATCCACTGGCGGGCTAGTCACATGATGAGACCAGAAGGCAGAGACTATCAAATGGTAGCTGACTGGTGAACTAAAGAAGGATCAGATAATAAGCAGAAACATCATCAAACCAATTATCAACCAGCAGAGGAGGAAAAGACCTATACTGATAAGACATCATCATAGAGGTGGACTAGCCCAGTGTGTGTGTATTGGGGAAGTGGGGTTTGGGCTGAGAGGGAAGAAAGGTGAAAAAGCCTGAGGCAAGAGCCGCTCTCTGGAAAAACAAGGAAATTACACAGCTGGTGTAGACAGAGGACTCTGCTGTTCTGTTTCTTTGAGCCACATTTATCTACAGTGGCAACACCCTCAGCAGTGACATTTTCTTGGGTCACAATTTAAGGATTTTTTTTTTTTTTTTTTTAGAGCGAGAGAGAGAGAGAGAGAGCATGAGCAGGAGGGGCAGAGGGAGAGGGAAAGAGAATTTCAAGCAGACTCCACAGTGCGCACAGACGCTGATGTGGGGCTCGATCCCACAACCCCAAGATCATGACCTAAGCTGAAACCAAGAGTCGGCACTTAACCAACTGCGCCACCCAGGCGCCCCACTTGGGTCACACTGTAAATAGTACAGTTGCCTTTTCAGATGCGCCTCTGGGTTATAGGTTATTTGTGGTTTTCCATGTGATTAATGTATATAATTATGGCTTGAGATTTAAAACATTTAGGTATTCCAGTTTCCTACCTAGCAGTGAGAGACCCTAGGTCACTGATGGATCAAGACAGGAAGAGGGGCCCTATGTCATTGATGGGGAAAGAGAAAGCCGGCTTCAGGTGCACTTTGCTTCGCACAGGATAAAACAAGATAATGACCCACAAGCAACAATTTTGCTTTTAAAATAGTTAAATTACACAATTAAATGAACCAAAGCTATAACTAATTATAAGCACGATGCTGATAACACAGACTCTGGAATCAGAAGTACCTGAGGTAGAATCCCAGCTCAGACAGTCAGGAGCTGGGGCAAATTATTACTGGTTGGGGCACCTGGGTGGCTCAGTCGGTTAAGCGGCTGCCTTCGGGTCAGGTCATGATCCCAGGCTCCTGGGATCGAGCCTCGCATCGGGCTCCCTGCTCAGCAGAACGCCTGCTTCTCCCTTTCCCTCTGCCTGCCACTCTGCCTACTTGTGCTATCTCTCTGTCAAATAAATAAATTTTAAAAAATCTTAAAAAAAAAAAATTATTCACTGGTCACAGCCTTGGTTTCCTTGCCTGTAAGTGGACAGACTAACACTTCCTAACTCATAGGGTGGTCATCAGATTTACATGAGGTTATACATTTACTACATGACACGTGTCTGCACATGTTCACTGCTCAACAAACACTAGTTATGACCAAATCATCCACTTCATTTGTATTTTGATAGTTTTTATCCATCTAGAAACTTCAAGAAACTTTTTTCCCTTGAAATTTCATTTTGGCATGCCCCATCGTGACAGGAAGAAAACAAGAAGCAAGGAAATGAGGCATGCCTTTCAATCCACTTCCATGCTAAATTACAGACTGTGTGTGAAAGCATTCATTAGCAATAACAAGAATTTGCATCTTACAATATCCATATACTTCTAAAAGTGAAAAAATGGTCATTTGACTTAACATCATTTCAGAGCTTTATCTTCATTTCTAATTGACATTCCTTTAAAAGAGACCCAAACTATTTTTGCTCTAAACTTAGCTATTTCTCTTCCTCTCTGTAACCTCCAGAACTGCACTAGGAACAAGGTCCTGATTTCTGTCCTAGCCCGGCCCTTAGTAATGGCCTAGACTTGATGTGGTAGGTATCTGCTTCCCGCCCACCCCTGCCTTTCCTTGGAGGACCACACCCCTTACTTCATGTGATCCTTGTGGATGGGTAACCGTGCTGCTAATCTCCTTCCTCCCTACAGAGAGATAGGGACAGGACCCAAGGA